CGCTGCTGCGGCGGGCGCGGCGCGGGGCTGGCTCGGGTGCCGGGGGAGCGCCCTGCCCGCCAGGAGAGTGTCCTTCCCCGCAGGTATCCCCCCTCCCTGTGTGCGCATCCCTCCATCCGTGCATCTTGCCCTGCACCTGCCACTCCGAGCTCACGTCTTTCCCTGCAGACCTTGCCCATATGAGCGGCACTTTCTCGCTCGTGCTCCCTGTTTTGCACTGTTCCTGCACACAAACAAACCCATGTGTATTTACCGTTAATATAGACAAGTATAAAACGGATGTAAGAAAAAGCAGGAGATGCTAACCCAGTTTTACAGATGGCAAACTGAGCCCCAGAGAGATGAAGGTTCCTGCCTTGGGCCACCTAGGGAATTCACGCCAGAGCTGGAATGGTAAAGCTCTCAGATTTCAGTTCRAAACAGTTTCCAGCCATGAAACCTTATTCCCTTTTGTGCTAGTGTAAGCTATTGCTTAATGCAGAGCTGTGTCAGGCAATACAGTACACCTTTTTGAGTACCCACTTCAAATATGGTGCTTGCAGTTACTTTGAAATAGCCCTGGTTTCTATAGGGATCCTGGGCTCAACAGCCTCAGTGCAGTTGAGAAATGCTCTGCTCTGGAAATACCAYTCAGCTAAAAGAGGATCACTGTAGATCGTGGAGCTGCAGAGCATCTGTGCCACTTAGTGGAGCAATTCTGATTTTTTCATGCAGAGGACAGGAGTAATAAATGCACCATTAGTCACTATGTTATGAAGTCAGTGTTTTTCAGCAATTTCTCATTTAACTTCTACAGGTACAGCTTAATATGCTTTGTTTTAATAAGGAAGGACATGSTACGCACCAAGCAACTTTTCAGGATGCCCCAGGATAAGGATCCAGAGCAACAGAAGGACTGAAAAAGGCCTGGGAGTTCTTAGCAGAAAGCTGAGGAGCTGCAGGTTGGTTGTCATTTCATATTGTACGGGCAAAGACTTTGAATTGTGCTACTGAACRCACAGGGTAATGATGCATCCACACCAAGTGAGCAAACTCCACCAATAAGCCATATTGACTAGTCTGATCGCATTCATTCATCATCACTATAGTCTGCAGGGGACAGTTATAAAGCTTGGTTATTAGTCATGTGAAAAATCCTCAGGCCAGGGAGCAGCTCTCTGCTCTCTGAAGAGCCCAGCTTTCTGGCTGACRGGGCTAACCATTAATACTTGCTGTAGCACTGTACCTGTCAAGCCATGGCTGTATTCCCTCCTCATGGGAATTATTAAACTGGTAAGTGCGTTTGCCAAATAAGGTGTAGGCTTCTCCAAGTTTTTGGCAGGTTGCTATTTCAGCCTTAATCAGGACTGTATTTGGGCCTTTATATTTTCAGGCTTCTGTGTWGATCTTTGGGAGCCCCATAAATGGTGTCCCAAATGCAATTAAAAAGGGATTTATCAGGAGATTTTTAGAAGCAGCTGGATRTCACTTTAGGAGACATTAACACACACTATCCAAACATGAAATCATATCCCTACTTCATCAAGACTAAAGAAGATTGGGAATGGGGAAGGAGGTCACTGGAGGAGTTTAAGTGGATCGCTGCTAGTGAGTCRTTTTCCCAGACACAATTATAAAGCCTGATTCTCTGTTGGCTAGATATGTCTAGAAATCTATGTGCTCAGGTGGAGCAGTACTATAAGGTTACRCTTTAATAAACATTTTCCCTGCTTTGCATCACAACTACTGATAGCAAGGAACGCAGGCAGTGGAAAACTCRAACTACAGATTGAGTGGGTGGAAATTTTTGTATCACTTCAACAAATTCTTCTATATGCCTTCCATTGCTCATGTATTAATTACTTTCTTCCCACCCAACTTTAAAACTGCCCATACCTGGGTTCTTTCCTGCTCTCTTCAAGACAGCTATTTCACAGCCTACTACAGCTCATTGGTAAAAGCTTTTAAACTACTTTCAGCTTCAGTTTTCCCTCTCTTTGCTTTGTCTTCTCTAAGTAATTTACATTTCCTCCTGCTTGRGTGTATGCCCTACAAATGTTTGTAAACTGTTTGTATGTCTCCTCAGAGACAAGGAACATATACTGTCATCACAAATCAATCCCTGTCGTTGCACAAGGAGCTATCACCTTCTGTCTTCTCCCAGTGTGTCAGATTGTCATGGTAGCCACCACCCTGAACTGAGCAGTGGGCTCCTGCCCAGCACTTGCTCTGTGCTGCCTGGCAGGGTAGCTGTGTGCACATTCCTRGTGCTGGCGTGTTGCCTTCTCCCTCTCTAGCTCATTACTTTGTGTCCCCTTCTCTAATTTTCTGGCCTCTCCTCAGGCTAGATCAACACAGTTTGACTTTCCAGAACTCTTCCCTCCTCTGCCAAGAGGAAAGTTACTTGGTGAATTATTTCCTCTTTGCTAAACAGCTTTTGTTTTCCGGGTTGAATCCTGTCTTCATCTAGTTTGCAATTTTTACTCTGTCTYATACTGTTGTTGGGAGGACCCTGACCTTGGCCTATTGTGTAGCTACTTCAGCTCTCATCCTATTCTCTCTTGCTTAGACTCCTTCTGGTTTTGCACCAGAATATTCCTGCACATTCCTGACCCTGCAGATAAGGGGAAAGTGACAGCCTTGGGGAGAGGAGAGTGAGGATCCCTCTGGCAYAGTTTTTGCTGGTGTCTCCCAGGCATATTGCCCTTCTCTTCCTTGCTGCTGCTGGGGCATAGACACTAAACATCTGTGCCTTTCCCAGCCCAAATGCAGCTCCTGCACCTCTCCCAGGACGCACCAGAGCCTCTCCAGCACAACCTTCTTCTGTCAGCTGGATGGCTTAAAGTTTAAAACTTTAATGAGGCACTCAGTCTAATGTTTTACTGATCCCCATTGCCATGGTATCCCTGGTTCCTTCCCTCTGGAAAGCCACTTGTCACATGCCATAATCCTTTGTCTACAGTCCTGCAGCTCATCCACCTGAGTGATTTTGCAGCCTGCTATGTGATAATGCTGAACATAAAGTTCCATTTGACTTTATACACTGGGCTTGCCTGATAGCCAAGGTCCAAAGCATGCCACAGTGTCAGTGTAACAGCCTGACAAAGGCCGAAGTCCTCTGTGACATCTCAGTGTTGGCTCCTTTTATAMATTTCCTATGCTTTGCCTTTGGTTTTTGTCACTCTGTGTCTCTGCTCTGCCTGCAGTCCTGGCACGGCTCGCCTTTCTCTTCCTGCATGGGTAGCAGGATGGGCATTTGCTTTCTCSTGTTGCCACAGACTGCCTGCAGGGGAGATGTGGGCAAAGCCTCTCTCCTCTGTGGGCCCCTGCCAGGCTGTTCTGGTATGGTGAGTGCATAGCACCCTGAGAGRCTTCAAAGTAACTGCCCAAAGCTGAGGCACCATCCCCACTGCTCACAGCCCAGAGGCTCTGCCTAATGTTGCCATCTGTGGCTGACCTTCATCAGAGTCCCTAGGGAAATGRAGCTTCTGTCTGGGACAGATGCACAGAGCAAGGCAGCAGAGAAGAGATGGGGCATGAGGAGGTAGCTGGGAATGATGACATATGGTGGGGAGCGATGCAGAGGGATACTGCCAGAAGCAAAGTGTTTGGCAGCCGCTGGGGACAGACTTGCACTGCAAATACCATATCTTTCACTTTAATATAAAGCCCGTGTGCTGCTGATGAGTTGTTATTCATGTTCATTGCTGGATAACAGCATGGTTTGTGCTGTTTGCTGTCTCACTGAAACCAGTTAGCCCTGAGTAATGAAAAGATTCTGTTGGTCCCTGGCTGAAAGGATCTGCAGAGAGTTGTTTCTCTGTGTATTAAGGACTGGCAGCAGTGTTGCTGCATGGATGCTTTCTTGGGGTCATGCTGAACAGCTCCCTATTTGGTTTTGTGCAAGTTTGGCAGCTATCAGCAGTAGTTTTGTATTTAGGTAAACCTAGTCAGTTACCCAGGACCATTTGAAAAAAAATATGGTAGGCTGGTAGAGAAAATGAGGGGAAAAAACCTTGTCACTGCATCTTTCCATGGAGAGAAGTATGGATCTGAGAGTAGATTTTAATTGGTTTTCGGAATATTCTGTTGTCTGTAGTTATTTCTTGAGCAATTAGACTGGCATAC